TAAACCTATGGGTTTTCTCTCCTGGTTAGACCCTGGTTGGTAAAGTAAGCATCCTAGGAATACTCCAAATGTAAGATGAAAGCAGACAAGGAATAAAGTTCATAAAACTATAAAGGGCATGGGAAGTGTGAAAAAGGACTTATGCCCTAAAACCTAGTTTATAATAGCTATGGTCCTAACTTTGAAATGGCAAAGAGCATCTATAAGAGAAACAGAAGCACTTCTCTGTGCATTTCTTTTGCTGTATTTGTTGCTATAAAAGGCGACACAAAGGAAAAACACAGATTGTTTCAAGACTGATCTGGTAAATTTAAGGATGACAAATTTAAAAATAATTAAGGGGGCAGGGCGTAGTGGCTCACACCTGTAATCCCTGCACTTTGGGAGGGCTGAGGAGAGAAGACAGCCTGAGTTTACAGGTTCCAGACCAGCCTGGGCAACATGGCAAGACCTCGTCTCTACAATAAGTCAAAAAATTAGCTGGGTGTGGTGGCATGTGTCTGTAGTTCCAGCTACTTGGAAGGCTGAAGTGGAAGGATCACCTGAACCCTGTAGGATGAGGTTGCAGTGGCTGTGAGCGTGCCACTGTACTCCAGCCTGGGTGACAGAGTGAGACCCTCATCTCAAAAATAAATAAATAAATAATAAAATAAAAATAATTAAGGGATGCAGAATTTCTTAGGCTCATATCACAAACTGTGTGTCATGCAATAGGGGACACACAACATAACTATTAAACATTCTCAATAGGCCAGCATCATTCTGAAATGAATTGTTTATCAAACTGGGATACAGTTCTTCACATAATTTTAAAAAATTTATGTTTCACTCAGATACAATTTTTGAAAAATCAATAGTCTGATCATCTATCTGACTGATTATCACAAAGCTGAGTTTTACGACATGATTTTAGTGCTTCATTCTGTGTTTGTATTTCACGGCATACTGGTATCAGGTAGCACCAGCTTACTCAACAATGGCTAATGACAACTGGACTGAACTAGGTTGAACTGGTTAAATAAATATTATGCTAGTGTCATGTAAAAGCCAAGTGACATCAGAGCACATTGTATGAAAAAAGGTTTGAGGTTTTAAAGCAGTTTAAAAAGAAAAGCGAGCTGGGCATGGTGGGTCATGTCTGGAATCCCAGCACTTTGGTAGGCGGAGGCAAGAGGACTGCCTGAGTCCATGGGTTCAAGACCAGCCTGGGCAACATGACGAGATCTCATCTCTACAGTAAATAAAAAAAATTAGTCAGGCATGGTGGCACATGCCTGTAGTTCCAGCTACTTGGAAGGCTGAGGAGGAAGAATTGCCTGAGCTCAGCGGGTCGAAGCTACGGTAGCTGTGAGTATGCCACTGCATTCCTGTCTGGGGAACTGAGTGAGACTCTGACTCAAAAAAAGAAAAAAGAAAAGAAAAGTGGTGGTGAATTATCAACAACTCATGGTAGTATAAGCATCCCTAATGCAAAAGAGATCAATCAGTATCATGTGTATAGTATCTGCTTAATTTCAGGAAAACATCATTCTTTATAGTAAATTGAATGTTCTTGGTCTAATAGCTTTATTTTTTTACTTAAATTTGTGACTTGTCTTGGCTTTATAGATGAACAAGAGCTATAGAAGCCGGGCTCGGGGCTCAGCCTGTAATCCCGCACTTTGGGAGGCTGAGGTGAGTGGATTGCCTGAGCCCACGGGTTCGAGACCTGCCTGGGCAAGCACTCATCTCTACAATAAATAAAAAAATTAGCCGGGTGTGATAGCATACGCCTGTAGTTCCAGCTACTTGAAGGCTGGGGCAGAAGGATCGCCGGAGCCCAGCAGGTCGAGGCTGCGGTGGCTGGGAGCGTGCCACTGCACTCCAGTCTGGGTGACAGAGTGAGAATCCAACTCACAAAAAAAAATAGCTATAGAAATTTTAAACTCAAGTTTATATTTGTAAAAATGATACAAGGAACTCTGAGAATCTTTTATAATTTTTTTTCCTTTAAGAGAGAAATACATTGGAGTAGAGCGCCAATAATTTGATCTGTTAGGTTTATTCTTTTTTTTTTTTTTGAGTCAGGGTCTCACTCTGTTGCCCAGGCTGGAGTGTGTGGCATGGATCACAGCTTACTGCAGCCTTGACCTCCTAGGTTCAGGCAGTCCTTCTGCCTCAATCTCCCAAGTAGCAGAAACTGCAGGTGCGTATCATCATGCCCAACTTAGTTTTTGATTTTTTGTAGAAATGAGGTCTTGTTATGTTTCCCAGGCGGTCTCAAGCAATCCTCTCTCCTTGGCCTTCCAAAGTGCTGCAATTACAGGCGTGAGCCACTGCGCCCAGTCAGAGTTATTCTTATATTCTGATGCTTATATCTGATTCTGATCTGGATCTTTCTATATAGTTATAGGAAAGTAGAAAAAGTCTATGCTTATATTTCTTCTAATAGTTAAGCAGTAATCAATTTACACATATGATAGAGGACAATTTATTCTTTTGGTAAGGATAGATGACACCAGTAAGTTAATTTTGGTTTAATTACAAACTTGCTTTTTTTGTACAAAGTAGACTAAAATAAAATAAAATTTTGTTAATATATCATTTTATATAATAAATTATATTATAAGTTCTTACATGATGGTTAATTGCTTGGTGATTTTACTATTGAAGAGTGTCAGTTAATGCATAAATTGACTTTATTGATCAGAAAGAATTATCAGTGGCTTAATAGTATGCATTAGGATGCATAGTACATAGTGTGCATTTCCTGTTCCTTATATAGGATCCTCTCTGTGATACCTTTTATTCTTTCCTAAAAATCTTTGAAGTCAATGAATTGAACATCATAAAGGAAATAAAATTATTTTCGGGAAAATCTAAGACAAAAAAGTTAATATACATCTTAGGTAATTATGACAAATTTACTCACATACTTGAGAGATTATTATTAAGCTCTCTCAGGGGGTCAGGTGAGGTGGCTCATGCCTGAAATGCTAGCACTTTGGGAGGCTTGCCTGAGATCAGGAGTTTTAAGACCAGTCTGGGTAACATGGCAGACACTGTCTCTACAAAGTTAAAAAAAATTCAACCAGAAATAGCAATACACACTTGCAGTCCCAACTCCTTGGAAGGCTGAGGCAGAAGGATCCCTTGAGCCTAGAAGATCAAGGCTGCAGTGAGCTATGATCATGTCACTGCAGCCTGAATGACAGAGACCTTGGTCTCAAAAGAAAAAAAAAAAGATCTCTCAGGAACATTATGTTCTTCAGTATTACAGAGGCAAAAAATAAATAAGAAATCCATTGTTCAAGAAGGTACTAATAGTAGGATGACTTATCTTTTAATTGCTGTCAATTACATTATAAAATGTTATATAGTTTATGTGTTTTATACCTGATCTTGGTCAAAAGGCCGAGAAGCAATTATGTGTTTTTAGAGTAAGGAAAAATGAGGACCTTCAATTCTCTGTTGGTAGCAAAGACTGGCATTAAGGACAGGAAGACTCATAAAATAATTAAGTAGATTTTTCAATCAAAAGAGTCATAGCTAACATTTTGAACAGTATTAAAAATATTTCTACAAAAGTTCTCTATGACTGAACTTTCAGGCGCAGGTTATCCTTAATTTTCAGTTCTTAGGATATAATTGTAAGGGAAGAGAAAGGAAATCTTTCTTCAGCCTACTTTTCCTATCTCTCTCTTTTTTGGAGAAAAGGCATACAAGTTTTATTAACGTATACATGGGGAGAACCACAGAGTGATCGCCCTCTATACTCCTTTATTTTAATACTCTTTTTTCCTCCAGTGGATTTCAACATATTTATTTATGTATTTTTATGTTGTTTTATTTTAGATTCAAGGGGCATGCAATGTCTGGGCTTCTATTAAGTTCATTGCCCAGGTGGTGAGCATGGTACCCAGGGGGTGGTTTTTCAACCCTTACCTCCTTCCCCACTTCAGGTTTGTTGTTCTTATCCTTATTCCTGTGTGTATTCAGTGTTTTGATCCTACTTATAAGTGTATTCAGTTTTCTGTTTCTGTGATAATTCACTTAGAATAATGGTCTCCAGTTGCATGTATGTTGCTGCAAAGGACATGATTTTATTTAATTTTTGTTGAGTTGGAGCCTCATTCTGTCACCCAGGCTGGAGTGTAGTGGCATGCTCACGGCCACTGCAGCCTCAACCTGCTGGGCACAGGTGATCCTTCTGCCTTAGCCTTCCAAGTAGCTGGAACCTTCTGCCTTAGCCTTCCAAGTGCGCCTGGTTAATCTTTTAATTTGTGTAGAGATGAGGTTTCACCAAGTTGCCCAGGCTGGTCTCGAACCTGTGGGCTCAGGCAATCCTCTCACCTTGGCCTCCCAAAGTACTGGGATTATAGATATGAGCCACTGGGCCCGGCCCAATTTTATTCTTTTTTTTTTTACGGCTGCATAGTACTCCATGGTGCATATGTACATTTTCTTTATCCAGTCCACTGATGATGGCACCTAGGTTGGTTCCATGTTTTTGCTATTTATATTCCTTTCTCAACTGTTTTTAGAAACGGTTTGACTCTTCAATAAGAATTAATTATGGAATAATAATATAGAAACAAGTAACATTGTTAATAATATAGCAAAAGAAATATTGGCATTTACATGACTCTCATATGGATCAAACCCATGACTCACTATGAAATGATGCACAGCTAAAATACAATTGCTATATACCATGTATACCATTAAAGAATGTGGATATGGTCCAGATCAGGTTAAATCTACTCAAAGGAAACTAACAAATTATTACTTCTAATATTAATAGTCACACTGAAACCTCATCATCACATTTAAAGACTTAAGAAAAAAGATGTTTCTGCTTTCTCAAAGTACAGAATTACTAGCTCAGTCAAAATCAATGAACCTCCTCAAAAATAAACCTTAATGTTAAATTTTGAAAATCTGTCAGTCCCAGGAAATTCTGGTGGAGCTCGTGGGGTAAAAACAGTAAGGCTTGATTTTATGTGTCAGTGAAAACTCACCTTTCCACAGTCACTTTTGACTGGTGTGAGGTAACCGCATGTGGGCTGGCCACTGAGTCTCCATTTCCCGGAGAGTTTGTCATACTTGGAAGTGCAGATACTTCTGGGCATAGCAAAGGAGACAGAAAAAAGGGTTACTAATATTTCTTTTTCTTTCTTTCTTTTTTTTAAGAAAGCAGGATTTAGGCCGGGCGCAGTGGTTCATGCCTATAATCCCAGCATTTTGGGAGGCCGAGGTGACAGGATTGCCTGAATCTACGGGTTCAGTACCAGCCCTGGCAACTTGGTGAGAACTCGTCTCTACAATAAATACAAAATTAGCCAGGTGTGGTGGCGTGTGCCTGTAATTCCGGCTACTTGGAAGGCTGAGGCGGAAGGATCACCAGAGTGAGACTCCAACTCAAAAAAAGAAAGAAAGCAGGATTTATTGAGAGGATAGAAAAGCTCCCATGGCAGGAGGGGACCCAAAGGGGTTGCCCACTAATATTTCATTATCAGACCCAAACCTCAGGAGCCAGAATGCCTGGATTTATGTCCTGGCTCTGCTACTTATCAAATGTGAGACCTTGGATACGTCACTTAAACTCTCTGTGCCTCAGTTTTCTCAGTAGTAGGCTCCAGTTATCTCATAGGCTCCTGTGAGAATTAAATTTATGAATACGTGCAAAGTACTTAGAACAGTGCCCAACACACCATAAGGGCTAAAACGGTATTAGTATTTTTGTTTGCACTAAATTGACATAAAGTACATAGTATTGAAACCACAGCAATTGATGAAGATAGTGGTAACCTGCCTTGGAACAGGTTGACACTGAATTTCTTTTTCCTTTTTTTGAGTTGGAGTCTCACTCTGTCCCCCAGGCTAGAGTGCAATGGCATGCTCACGGTCACCCCAGCGTTGACCTGCTGGGCTCTGGCGATCCTTCTGTCTCAGCCTTCCAAGTAGCTGGAACTACAGGCACGTGCTACCACGCCCAGCTAATTTTTTGTACTGTAGAGATGAGGTCTCACCAAGTTGCCTGGGCTGGTCTCGAACCAGCGGGCTCAGACAATCCACTCACCTCGGCCTCCTAAAGTGCTGGTATTACAGGCTGAGCCACTGAGTTTGGCTGACACTCAATTTCTTTACTGAGGATTCAGAGCAAATAACCACGGAACACCATAAGTATTTAAAATATTTTTGAAAACTCAGTTTAGTCCTAGGCACACTTAGGATGATGGAGATTTGACAAGTGAAAGGTCCCTGTGTGCTGCCACCTTGTTATTTACTGCTCAGTGTTGGAGTTCAACTTAAGCCAACCACACTGATGATGGACTAAAACCTGGGACAGGGTTACTTGTCTTGTAAAACTTCATACAGTCAGAGTTTCGGAGAAATCTGTGGGTGTTGATGGTTTCAGTTTGATGTGAGAGAACAATGGACATAATTCCAAGACAGTGCTATTTCACAATCTGGTACAAATTCAGTAAAACTGCCAGAGATACAAGAGATCTGATAACCAAAGCAAAGAAGTGATCGATAATTTTTAAACTTCTCAAATTTGCAACTGAGAAGACACTTGACAGGTTTGTAAACTTGCCTGCCTGCCCTAGAATTCTCTTTGTAGCATTAATAACACAAGTGAGCCCTCAACCAGATATGTGACTGGAACAAGAGGAATATTTGTTAGGAATATTTGCCTAACAAATAGGCAGAGATAATCCTCGAGTCTCTCTTTACCAGTTTTAACTCAATCCAAATTATATGATTGTTGAGAAAGACAGCTATGTCAGTAGACAAGTTTCACCTTCCTTCTTGCCTTTGCTCATTCTTGGTGATTTATAAAGAATACTGAAAGGACAGAGAAGGGAACAGCAGGAAGAGAGATGAAAACAAACATGAAAAGCAAGGAGCCTGGCCAGGCACCAAGTACTGCAGCCGCCCCTCAAATAATCCTGAGCTAGTGCAACTTAACAGCTGAAATGGATCATTCTGATGACTCATTGGGTGCTATGCCTGCTTACAGCCCATGTCTATGGCAACATTCTTAAAGACCGCACGCTTAACACACAGTGGGGTTAACACACAATCCCTGGGACTGTTCTCCAAACATACACAATCAGGGCATCTTTATTTTATCTTATTTTATTTTTTTGAGTTGAAGTCTCACTGTGTTGCCCAGGCTGGAGTACAGTGGCATGCTCACGGCCACCACAGCTGCGACCTGCTGGGCTCAGGTGATCCTTCTACCTCAGCCTTCCAAGCAGCTGGAACTACAGGCATGCACCACCACTCCTGGCTAATTATTTTTTATTTATTGTCGAGATAAGGTCTCGCCAAGTTGGCTGGGCTGATCTTGAACCCGTGGGCTTCAAGCAATCCTCTCACCTCAGCCTCCCAAAGTGCTGGGATTATAGACGTGAGCCACCGCACCCAGCCTAGGGCATCTTTAAAAGAGCATGAAAACCCCACTGTAAAGGAATCTTGACACACAGAAACTAGAGCATCTTCTATTGAAAACCCAAAATACCAGCAATTCTTTCCATTTGAAAACCCCTAATGTTTATAGGGAATGTTTTTTCATATAAACCATTTGATATGATCTTTAATTCAGCTTTGGGAGGTATTCCAGCCTTTGTTTTTATTTTATTTTATTTTGTTTGTAAACAGAAAAAGAAATGGTGGTACTTTTGATCCTTTCTTTTCATATTGGTACTGCAGTTGAGGAAAGAGGCTGACAGAATGATAAGCTATCTACCAACCACTTGTATGTACAGTCATGAAGACTCTGTGATCACAGAAGGAGCAGAATTAGGAACTGGTGACCTGGGCCTCAGCTATGTGAGCCTGGCCTGTCATTGGACCCATGCCCCTGGGGGTTAAGACCCTGTTTGTCCACAGTAAGTCCCAGCACCTACAACAGGGCCTGGATGGAAGGGCTTTGAAAACGTGGCCAGGCGCAGTGGCTCACACCTATAATCCCTGCACTTTAAGAGGTTAAGGTGGGAGGATTGCTTGAGCCCAGGAGTTTAAAACCAGCCTGGGCAATACAGTGATACTTAGTCTGCCAAAAAGTTTAAAAATGAGCTGGGCATGGTGGCACATACCTATAGTTCTAGCTTCTTGGGAGGTTGAGGTGAGAGAATAGCTTGAGTCCGGGTGTTCAAAATTGTGGTGAGTCATGATCATGCCACTGTACTGAGTGACAGAGTGAAACCTTGGCTCAAAAAAAAAAAAAAGAAAAAAGAAAAAGAAAAGAAAATGCTTGTTTTGATAGTGGGGATCAAACAAGAAAATATATGAAAAATGTACCTGACGTCAAAATGGCATTTAATTAATATTAACTGAATCTGAGTACTAAGGTTAATTTCACTTTGTTTAAATAACATTTGGTTTATAGTCACCAAGAAACCAATAATCTCTGTCCGAAGCCTATACAGCATACAAGGAACTTTCTAATGAAATTTTGAGATCACTATACATTATGTGTATTGAAATATCACTATGTATCCCAAGAATATGTGCAATTATTATTTGTCAATTAAAAGAATAAATTTCAACTAATTTATTTATATTTTTGAGTTGGCTTCTCACTCTTAGACTGACATAATCACAGTTCATCACAGCCTCAAATTCCTGGGTTCATGCAATCCTCCCACCTCAGCCTTCTGAATAGCTGGGACTACAGGTGTGCACCATCACCTGTAGCTAAGTTTTAAAAAAATTTTTTTGTAGAATCAAGGCCTCAATACGTTGCCTAGGCTGGTCTTGAACTCCTGGGCTCAAGTAATCCTGCCTCAGCCTCCCCAACGTACTGGGATTACAGGCGCAAGTCATTGTGCCTGGCCTAAAAAATTTTAAATTTTAACTTTATTCCAAAGTCAGACTAAAATAAATAACATTTAATTCCTTTTCTGAGAACTACCAAAACTATAAGGTGTCAAATGTAGACATTCGAAGTTCTTAGTAGGAAACATAAATACATGTTATTTTAGCAGACATACATAAAATTTAATTGTATAAACTCAAAGGAAATTCTTCTAATAGTGTGTGTATATATATTCATATATATACAAATATACATACATACATGAATATATATGATGTAAGATGACGTAAAATATTAAGCAACCATTAAAGTATAAACAAACGTGAAATATATCTGGCAGAAATGCCAGAGAGAGTTTTAAAGAAGAGGAAAATGTGTGAACTAGATTTGTGAGTCTAGGAGTACTGTATCTTTGCCTCCCCATAAATTCATGAATATCTTGACCTCTAGAGAGTCAATTCAAAAATTTTACATTAGAATTAACTGGCGTTTGTTGCTAGAAATACCTGTTCCCCCAGTGAGCGCTTCCTTGGCTACCTCACCATTTCTCTGATCAATGGTTTTCTGCCAAGAAGAGAAAGAAAGACTTTTAACAATTAAAGTTACAAGTGAAAATAAAGAAAAAAGTAAAAGCATATAAGAATTGCTAGAAAATGGCCATCTCAATACCTTATCTGTAGCTTCTGTTCTTCTGGTTCTTTTCATAATCTCCTCAAGTCGCTACAAGAAAGGAAGAATTGAGTAAGAGGACGCGATACAGACAAAAAGCCATTTTTGGTACATTTCATCGATGAAATAAATAGCAGATTATTAAAACATGGCTATTATTTTGTAAATACAATATGCACTGCCTTGTCTTAATTAGAATAATTCAAAAGAGTTGAAACTGGTTCAAGTCACATGAAGTGGAAGTAGCTTTTAGGTAAAGGCTGAACGTTGAGAGTGATATCTTTGTAATTATTAATACTGAGGGCTACTTTAGTTTAGTCTGAGAAATTGTAGAGCAACACATTTGTTTTCTGATGGCAATGAGCTAGTCTCTTGGTCTTTAGATGGCTGCAAGTCTATGAAAGACTCAGAAAAACTTGGCCTGTTGTGGTGATTCACGCCTGTAATCCCAGCACTCTGAGAGGTCTGAGTGAGAGTATTGCTTGAGCCTATGAGTTTGAGACCAGCCTGGGCAACATAGTGAGACCCTGTCTCTATTCTTAGAAGAAGGAAAAAAAAAAAACCCAAACAGCTCATGTCCTAGGTTTCTGCTGTGAGAGGCAGCTACCTTCTTTCTCTCCAGGCGCTCCTGCTCTTCTCTCTGGAAATGCTTCTCTCGTTCCTGCCGGACCCTCTCTGCTTCTTCACGAACGCGAGCTTCTTCTTCTTTCTGAAAAGACAAAGTTGGTGTCTGCTTCTGTCAAACAGACTAGTCTCCGGGGACACGAGGAGGCCAGATGGCAGATGGGGAAGGCCTGGAACGTGGGAGCATGCTCACCAAACGTCTACTGTCTGGACAATGTCTCTGCTCATCTGAGCTGGTCATCCACCCACCCCAAGCGGTGGACGCTCCACGCTGCACCCTGGGGCCTGGGGCGCACCTGTCTCTGGACGCACACCTACCTCTGGACGCGTGCCTATCTCTGGATGTGCACCTGTCTCTGGACACGCACGCCTGCCTCTGGACACGCACCTGTCTCTGGACGCGGGCCTGTCTCTGGATCTGTGCACCTGTCTCTGGACGCGCACCTGCCTCAGGACGCACACCTGCCTCTGGAGGCGCGCCTGTCTCTGGACATGCGTACCTGTCTCTGGACGCGCAGCTGCCTCTGGAGGCGCACCTGTCTCTGGACGCGGGCCTGTTTCTGGACGCGCACACCTGTCTCTGGACACGCACCTGCCTCTGGACGCGCACCTGCCTCTGGAGGCGCACCTGTCTCTGGACGCGCTCCAGCTCCTCCCGCTCGCGCTGCTCCCGCTCCTCCGCCTGTCGCCGCTGCTGCTCCTCCTTCTCCCGGGCCTGCTCCGCTTCCAACTGTCGGGCTTCTTCCTCGCGGCGGGTTCTCTCCTCAGCCACCCTGTGAGCCAGTTCTTCTCTCTTTTGTCTGGAAAAAGACAAGAACAAAACAAAGACACGTGAGGGGGAGAGGCTCGAGTTTGTGGTTATTTTAAGAACGGCGTGGTCAAATGTCGACAGAAAGTCTTCACCGATGTATTCAACATGGTTAAGAGACAATGGGAAGCCTTCATGCTTCCTCCTCCCTTCCCCACTTCACTGTTGCCTGTGGTAAACAGAAGCAAAAGGCAACCAGTCATATTTGGGAGGAGAGCTTGCTTTCTGGAAGGATCTACAATTTTTTTTTTTTTTTTTTTGAGTTGGAGTCTTACTCTGTGCCCCAGGCTGGAGTGCATTGGCACGTTCGGAGTGCATTGGCATGCTCATGGGCACCCCAGCGCCGACCTGCTGGGCTCCAGTGATCCTTCTGCCCCTGCCTTCCAAGTAGTCAGAATTACAGGAATGCACTATCAAGTCCAACTGATTTTTAAAATTTTATTGTAGAGATGAGGTCTCGCCAAGTTGCCTGGTCTGGTCTCAAACCCGTGTGCTCAGGTAGGTCACCTGTCTCGGCCTCCCAAAATGCTGGGATTATAGGCTGAGCCACCAAGCCCAGCCAGGATCTGCAATTTAATTATCTTTAAAGGCTGAGACTTGTTTAATCCAGGTATTATGACTTTCTAGTAGTAAATGTGAAGACTTTCCCCCCCTCAAAGGAAATCTTTGCAAATAAATAAAGGTTGCAATGTTCTGTCACACCACAGGAAGAGGATAGGCCATATAATTCCCTGACTGGGACCAAGGATGGGTACGTCCAAGATGAAGGTGCAGCACTGGCAAGATCCCTCCCCAAGGTGTAGTTCTGTTTGTCTAAAGAACAATTATATTGACATTGGTCTTATTAGGCCCAGAAGGTGACCAGTTAAGCAAACTGTTGCTGGCATACTGCCTGGCAGGCAATCATGGGGCATTTCAATACCTTGCCTGGCTACTCTCTGAGAGGACTTTTATCCGGAAGGAAGGAAACACGAGCCCTTATTATGCGACTTTAAAGTGATAATTATAAAGATAACAAGGAAGCCTGGGGATTGGAGATATATTAAGTAAAAGACTGCACAATTATACCTCTATTTGGCTATAATTATGCAAATATGTGTGCATATGTATGTGTGAATATATACACACACATACCCCCACACCGTTGAGAGACTCCGAAGGACCACTCCAAATGTACAAAATTACTGAAATTTGGAATGATTATAGATACAATTTTTTTAAGCCTTTCTCAACATTACTGTTGTTGTACTGTTATTAAAATAAGAAACTGGCCAGACATGGTGGCTCCCACCTGTAATCCTAGTACTTTCGGAGGTGGAGGCGAGGGGATGGCTTGAGCCCGGGGTTCGAGATTAGACTGGGAAGCTTGGTGAGACCTTGCCTCTACAATAAATAAAACACTAGCCAGGTATAGTTCCAGCTACTTGGAAGGCTGAGGGGGAAGGATTGTCTAAGTCCAGAAGTTTGAGGCTGCGATAGCCATGATCGTGCAACTGCCCTCCAGCCTGGGCAACAGGGTGAGACTTCGACTCAAAACAAACAAAAAAAAGAAACCATAAGTTAAAGAAAAATCGCCCTGCGGTCAAAAGAACACCAGGTGAGAATAATTATGAAACAAATCCATCTGCCTTCTTTCCTCTACCACCTCCTCACTCAGAGAGGTGAGGAGTTAATGCCAGTATCTCCATGACATCGCTGACACCGCAGTGCTGAGCAGAATGTCCCATTTACCTTTCGAGCTCTTCCTGCTCCTTCCTCTCCCTTTCCTCCTTCTCCCTCTGTTCTCGGGCCAGCCGCCTCTTCTCGGTGAGCAGCCTTGTGGCCTCTTCTGGGTCGGTGGTGCCTGCAGAGGTCTTAGGAGAAGCACTGGCAGTCACAGCGGATGATGGGGCTGGGACGGAGGCTGTGGCCGGGGCTGAGGCTGGAGCAGCTGTACAAATAGGTACAAGGAGAAAACCAACTGGAAACAAAACCCAAAGAACAAAACAAAAACTAGCATTCCCCCCACGCCAGGATCAGAATTTGTCATTATAAAAGAAAGAGAATGTTTATCACTGTGTGTTCTCACGGTTCCCCTGTATTCTATCTGTAACCAAGCAACAGACCAAAAAAACGACATGTGTAAGTGAGACATCCAACAAAGCTGACACTGTCACCAAGTCTTATTTTTATACCAGTTAAATCAGTTGACAACATATATTGAATGTGTGCTCGGTATAGCGCCTCATGTGAGATTCGGTGGGAAGTTACACCCTGAGCAAAAAGGAAGGCCAGGGGCCTGTATTTTGAAAATCACAGATTTGGTGGTTTAAATTTCCAGCTTGGTCCTTCCGAGGAAGTGTTGGGGTAAGGCCCTCAGTTCACCCACAGACTGGCACCGTGCCTGGCAGCGCCAGGCCTGCACTTGCCCACACATGTCATCCATCTTCCAGCTCACCTGCATTCACTTGGCCTCATTCTGCAAGACGATGAGGTCACCGTTATGGAGGATAAAGTCAACAATCTCATGAAAGCAGCTGATGTGAATGCTGATCCTTTTGGGCCTGCCTTGTTTGCAAAGGCCCTGGCCAACTTGAGGTCTGGAGGCTCACCTGCTGGTGAACCTGGGCCCATAGGTGGTCATGCACTGGCAGGAGTTCCCACCCCCTCCAACATTCCTGCCCCGGCAGGGAGAAGAATAGTGGAATCAAAGAAAGAAAAATCTGAGGAGTGTGAGGAGGACATGGCTAAAATTCTTTTGTAACATGCTCAATAAAAAAGCTACACTCTTAAAAAATTTGTTTCCATACATTCTTTGAAAATTCTCCTTTAAATAAGGTGGAGACAAAGGCTGGGCATGGTGATTCATTCCTATAATCCCAGAACCCGAGAGGTCAAGGAAGGAGGACTGCTTGAGTCCAGGAAGTCTATCTAGACCAGCCTAGGGAATATAGTGAGAACTCTTCTTTACAAAAAATAAAAAAACTAGCCAGGCAGGGTGGTGGGCACCCATAGTCCTAGCTAGTCTGAAGTCTGAGGCAGAAGATTGCCTGAGCCCAGGAGGTCAGGGCTGTGATGAGCCATGATCATGCCACTGCACGACAGCCTGGGTGACAGAGTGAGACCCTGACTCAAAAAAAAAAAAAAAAAAGGTAGAGACTAATATCTCCTTTAGTGCCAGTTCAACTTAATGACTTGCTTTTTGTTTGTTTTGTTAAATGAGATGGGGTCTTTCTATGTTGCCTGGTTTGATCTCAAATTCCTGGGCTCAAGTAATCCAACTACCTCAGCCTCCCAAAGTAGCTGGGATTACAGGTGTGTGCCACCATGACTGATCATGACTTGCCTAATGAACAGAATATAACAGAAATATTGGTGTGTGACTTCTGAGAGTGAGCCATAAAAGACACCGTGCCTTCTTCTTTATACTCTATCCCAGATTTCTCACTCTGGGAGAAGCCAGCAGAGCAAGCAGACAGATTATGAGGACACTGAGTGTCACTATGGAGGAATTCACTTGTCATGAAACTGACGCCACCGGGCAACAGCCTTGTGTGGAAGCCATCTTCCACCTCCTGCTGAGTCTTAAGATGACTACTGCTCTGGCCATCAGCTTGACTGCAATCTCACGAGAGACCGTGGGCCAGAACCACCCCACTGAGTTGCTCCAAATTACTGAGCCAAGAATCCCTGTGATATAATAAATATTCATGGCTGTTTTAAGTTCCCAAGCTTAATATAATATAATATAATATAATATAATATAATATAATATAATATAATATAATATAATATAATATTTCATTGCTGTTTTAAGCTCCTTATCCTATTATTGGATAATTTGTTATGCAGTAATATATAACTGATACAACAGGTGACTCTGATGCTCAGACCACACTCTGAGAAACACTGGACTCAGTCAATAAAAGCACTCAGAAACTATGCCTGAATTAATATGCTATGGCTCCAACAATAGGCTTTTGAATGTATGATTCTACTGCTTTTTTTTTTTTTGAGTTGGAGTCTCACTCTGTCGCCTAGGCTGGAATGTAGTGGCACGCTCACTGTCACTGCAGGCTTGACCTACTGCGCTCAGGTGATCCTTCTGCCTCAGTCTTCCAAGTTGGAACTAGGGGCACATGCCATCATGCCCGGCTAGTTTTTTGATTCATTGTAGAGATGAGGTCTTGCTAAGTTGCCCAGGCTGTTCTTGAACCCATGGGCTCAGGCAATCCTCTCACCTCAGCCTCCCAAAGTTGGGGTTTTAGGCAAGAGCCATTGTGCCTGGCCTCAACTGTTTTATGTTAAAAAATTCTACTTAAGTTCTCCAAATTAGCCTTAGAGTAAAATTTCTGTACCTCTAGTAGGAAAAGAAAAGGGAGGCTGGGCACAGTAGCACACACCTGTAATCTCAGTACTTTGGGAGGCCAAGGTGGGAGGAATGTGTGAGCCCCAGAGTCGAGACCAGCCTGGACAACATAGTGAGAATTTGTCTGTACAAAAAATAAAGATATAAGCTGAGAGTGGTGGTGCACACCTATAGTCTCAGCTACTTGTAATGATGAGGTGGAAACAGCGCCTGGGCCCAGGAAATTGGGACTGTGGAAAGTCGTGATCATGCCACTGCACTTAAGCCTGGATGACAGAGTGAGACCCTGACTCAAAAAAAAAAAGTACAGGGAGTGCAAAATTAAAACACTGTAAGAGATAAATAGCACCCAAATATATCCCATCACAAGTCAGTTTAATCTTACCAGGATCAACTTCCGGTTGGACAGGTGTCCCCTCTTCACCTGCGGCTTCTTCTACCTTCACTAAAGGCGTTCTACCCTTTAGTGAGGGCTCATTGGCAACTTTCTGAGGTTCCTTCTCGGGGTCCTTTTTCTCAGGTTCCACTCGGACTTCTTTCTTGACTGGGCGGATGTTGCCAGGGGATGGGGGCCGGACCTGGGCGGGAGCAGCTTTGACTGAGCTGGGGGGCAAGGAGGATGCTGGTCTGGGCGTGCCAGGCAAGTGAGGAAGGGACTTGGACGGGAGCCTGGGCCACAAAAAAAGAGGGACAGAAGGGGACACATCAGAATAGGCTTGTCAGAACCTAGACCACCACCTGATGGAAAAGAAATGGAGGTATTTAGTTATGTATATCTGTCTTTTATGTGGCAAATGTAGAAATAGAGTCACTTTAGAGACACCTTTCGATTTTCATTTTTTCTTTCCTTTCAGAAGAATGCTGTTCCCTAAGTGAAAGTCAAAAAGCGCGGGGGGAATGGTTCATTTCAGAGGACAGAGGCTACTAATTCTGCAACGTGGAACAACCCAGCCAGCCTTTATATCTCACTTACCAAAGTCGGGAGGAAGCTGGTGATCTTGCTTTGGTACTAGATGGAGACAGAGCCCTTCGGATGCCAGATGGAAGATGGAAGGGTATGTTTTCTCTCTCTCTTTCTTTTTTATAGCCCTAAGTTTAGAGAAACTCAATAATTAGATTTTTCCTTGCGTGAGACAACCACGGTGACAACATTCAATAGTGCAGGCATTTCTGGACATTTGGACATTCTGGACTTTTTTTTTTTTTTGAGTTGGAGTCTCACTCTGTCACCCAGACTAGAGTGCAGTGGCCGCTTCTGGCCACCGCAGCCTCGACCTGCTGGGCTTCAGCAATACTTCCGCCTCAGCCTTCCGAGTAGCCGGAATTACAGGCATGCGCTACCACGCCCGGCTGATTTTTTGATTTATTGTAGAGATGAGGTCTCGCTGCCCAGGCGGGTCTCGAACCCACGGGCTCAGGCAATCCACTCACCTCAGCCTCCCAAAGGCGCGGGATTACAGGCTGAGCCACCGAGCCCGGCCTTCTGGACATTTTAAAAACTCTGTCACATATATCCATTCCACTTCAACAAAAGGCCCTCATTAGCTTAAAAGTTGACAGTATAACTGAATTAACATGACGTGGCACTCATAAGATAGTTCTGGATGTGTGACTTGGAGTCATAGTTGCAAAAAATATATACATATTTTTAGAAAGCCCTTATACTTTTGTCTAAAATTACCTGGAACACAACTTCTCAGTCTTGTTTATCCCACATGAATGTTGAAACAAAAGTCATTTTAATTTTGCCCTAACTTTTAATGAAGACACCTCGTTTCTCCCAAAACATACCATAGTTTAGTCTTTTAAAAAAATGTATATGCCTGCTATATCAAACATTAACTTATTTTTTTTCCTTTATACTGTTATTATAGAAACAAGTCTTTATATCATGTTCTTTTGCTCTTAAAGGAAAGTCAGGTTCAAGGTAAGAAATTTCAGCTTTTTTTACTCTTCTTTACCAGGGATAAAATTGGAATCTGAAGGTGGGCCCAAACATTAGCCCTTTCCTGACTGCTACTAGGAATTCAGAGAGATGATACCTTTCCTAAGTTGAAATGGGCAAAGGGAAGCCCAGAGAAGTTTTCTGATATTCTAAAGTTAGTCAAGACATTTAAAAAAAATGCACAGAGTAGAACAGACCCATTCCAAGTATCTGAAGCTCCCTGATGACGTTCTGGGGGTGAAAATGGGTATGTGCTGGGGACACCTTGTGAACACCTGTCAGGAGAGCAGACAGCAAGGGTGCACAGGAAGGGGCAGGTATTATCAAGCTTCAGGGCAAATAAGGTACTGTTCCTTTTCTTCTCTCTTTTTGTGCCTGGCTCAGGCATCAACTCCTCTCTTCCCTCCCTTCCCTTGTATGCGCCTCCGTGTCCCTTTTAACTGCTTCCTCTGTTTTTCCTTAGTAGCATCCTAGTTGATGGCTTGGGCTACAAGAGGGGAAAAAATATCTTAAATGTCAAACAATGCTCACGGTCTCCCTGGAATTTCGAAGAAATAAGGAAAGAGGCAAGAAAGAGCTTTCACAATGTGCATACCAGCTCTACATCATTTCCAGCTACTTGACAACCTTTTGCCCCAGTCTCTGGTCCCAAGAGGAGGGAGGGAGGGAGGGAAGGAAGGAGAGAGGGAAAGGCCTTGCAGAGCTGCTGCCATTCTTGGGTGGCAAAAGCTGCAGCCATCATATGGGGCCCCCTGGCTGGTGTACAGGATGGCAGGCACAGGGCTCTTCCTAAGAGTTGGAGGTTAAGTACCTCGAGTAGTCTTTCTTTTCTTTTTCTCAGAACATTTTGATTTGGCTGAAATCAGATTGATGAGAGAGCTAAATGGGAAAATAAAGTCAGGAAGGACAATTTCTGATGTGGGGGTTTGGGGATGAATTATATTGTCTGTGCCTTGATAACACAAGGTTCAAGGAATAAACTTATATAAAGGTATATAATCCTCAGACAGTTTGCTTTTTACTAAAGTGCCATCAAGTCGATGACTTCTTTTTCTGTTATAAGTGGTCTCTTTAATCACCCAGAGGTGGGGGAGCAGGGGAGGAATGGTTTGGGAAAACATTCAATATTTGAGTTAACACTCTCCTGAGCAGGCGGGATTTTTTTGTTTGCCAACCTTTGTGTTCTTGTATACAGTCAACATTTGGGTACCACACATGTAAAGGCACTCCCAAGTCTCATCTTGATCTGATTTAATAGCCAGGAGTCTGTACAATGAATCATCTGTCCTTTTAATACTTTCCAGGCAGTAAGTCTAGACAACCTACCAGCAGGAGAAATACTTCCATTTTATGAGAAGTAGGTTTAGAATACAGTATAAACATCCTTTAAGAAAGACAAGACACTGACAGATACTCTAAGCCATTGCTGCCCTACAGAACCTTCTGTGATGATGAAAACATTCTAAGTCTATACTGTCAAAATGGCAGCCAATAGCCACATTTGGCTATTTGAATGTAGATCTAAATTAATTAAATAAGATAAAAAATCCAAAACATGTTCAGTGCTCAATAGTAGCCATTTGAATTTAAATAGGAATTAAATATAACAGAAAAGGAAATTAAGAAAACAATTCCATTTCCTATAATATCCAAAAGAATAAAACAGCAATGAACTTAACCAAGGAAGCCAACAACTTGTATACTGAAAACTAGAAGATACTGCTGAAAGAAATTAAAGACAACACAAATAAATGGAAGGGAATACCTGTTCGTGGGTTGGAAGAGTTAATATTGTTAAGATGCCATTACTACCCAAAGCTATGCACAGATTCTAAGCAATCCCTACCAAAATCCCAATATCATTTTTTTGCAGAAATAAAAAAATTTATCCTGAAATACATATAAAATCACAAGGAATTCTGAAGAATCAAAGTAACCTTATTTTTTTTTTTTGAGTTGGAGTCTTACTTCGTTACCCAGGCTGTGGTACAGTGGCATGCTCATGGCCACTCCAGCATCAACCTGCTGAGCTCTGGCGATCCTTCTGCCGCAGCCCTCCAAGTAAGCAGAACCACAGGCGTGCGCTACCATGCCCGGCTAATTTTTTATTTATTGTAGACATGAGGTCTTGCCATGTTGCCCAGGCTGGTCTCAAATCCACTTGCCTCAGTCTTCCAAAGTGCTGGGATTGCATGCTGAGTCACCAAGCCCAGCCCAAAGTAATCTTACAAAAGAACACAGTTGGAGGTCTCACACTTACTGATTTCAGAATGTATTACAGGTTGAGTACCCCAATCCTAAAAGCTTGGGATCAGAAGTGTGCTGGATTTCAGATTTTGGAGTATTTGCATTAGTATTTACTGCTTCCACAGCCCTAATATGAAAAACTCAAAGTCTGAAATGCTCCAAAGGACCTTTCCTTTGAGTGTCATATTGTCACACTTTTGGTGGGGATGTAAAATGGTGCAGCTGCTTTAGAAAACAGTATGGAGGCTCCTCAAAAACTTGAAAATAGGATTGCTGTATGATGCAGCAATCTCACTTCTGGGTATAGATCCAGAAAAAAAAAAAATGGAAAGAAGGATCTCTGAGAGATACCTGCACACCTGTGTTCATAGCAGCATTATTCATAATAGACAAGAGGTAAAAGCACCCCAGATATCCATCAATGGATGAATGCATAAACAAAATGTGACATATACTTACAATGGGGACCCCAAAAAACCTAGAATTACTTTTTAGAGTGCGGGTTCCTTGTAGAAGAGGCTTCCCGTGCTACATAAGTGTTCTAGGAACCCACCAGCATCAGTGTAACAGTTAGCGTTGCTGTGAGAGGCTGTGTTCTGCTTCAGTTACTTTTTTTTTTTTGGAGATTCTTTCAGTGCATTTGCCCATTTCATGATGGGTGATTTATGACTCACCTGCCCACACCACACTGAGTGTTCAGTAGTTTTTGACCCCAAACAGCATGACCCTAATGCCTCATCCTCCTTTTTCACCCAATCTCTCCCAGAGTGACATTTTTTCCCCCCCAGGTGAAAGAAGTCCTTAAAGGGATATGCTTTGCCGATGTGGAAGAGGTGAAACAAAAAATGGCAGAAGCACTAAAAGGCATCAAAATTGTTGATTTCAAAAACTGTTTTGAGCAGTGGAACAAGCATCTCTATAGGTATATTGCATCAAATGGAGAGTACTTGGAAGGTGACTGAAGTTTAAATATGTAAGAATATACATTAAAAAAAAATAAATTCTGCTTTTGGGAGGTCCCCCCTCATACCATAGAATATTATTCAGCCCTAACGAGTGAGGAAATTCTGACACATATTTAGATAAGGATGACTCTTGAGGACATCATGCTAAGTCAAATAAGCCAGTCAAAAATTCAAACACTGCATAATTCCACTTTTATGTGGTGTCTAAAGTAGTCAAATTCATAGAAATGGGAAGTAAAATGGTAGTTGCTAAGAGTTGAGGGGAAGAGGAAATGGGAAATTATTTAAAGGGTATAGTTTTACAAGACTTAAATAGTTTTGGAGATTGGTTACACTACGTTATGAATACATCTTACGCTGCTGAACTTAAAGATGGCTTAAATGGTATATTTTATTTGTGTGTTTTTCCACAATTAAACATTAAAAAAATTATAATTCAGTTTGTCAGTCTCACTAGTCACTTTCCAAGTATTCAATGTGACTAGTCACTACTGAATTTGACAGAGACATTTACCTAAATACTTGGTTGTAAAGAGGTGAGAAGCCTAAGTGATCAAAGAGAAAGGCATTCTCTCTCTCTCTCTCTCTCTCTCTCTCTCTCTCTCTCTCTCTCTCTCTCTCTCTCACACACACACACACACACACACACACACACACACACACACACACACGATGACAAATCCCTCTTATTTAGTTTGCTAGCCAAGAGTCAGCCCTCTCCTTTCCCTGAAGGAGTGCTAATTTTTATGGTTTTACCTAGAACAAGGTATTTTTCTTTTGGTAAATTCACTTTTTCCCTGCTCAAGGAGTACCCAATGTTTGACGTCAAAGCTGTTCTGTTTAACTATGCCTTTTGGTTCACAACTAGGATCTTTGAAACATCAACTTTAATGAATTATAACTTCACAGACATCAAAGGTAGTTAGTTTCACCTTTGGCTACAGGGTTGGAGGCCTGACTCAATCATGAATTAAACACTGATTCTTGAAAGCCTGAGGGAGTTGAAAGAAAACTGCCTGTAGGCAAAGCCATCAAGCCCTTACAACCCTGAATTATCCTTTCAGCAAAATCCTTTTAAGTGTCCATCAGGTTTATAAATCTGAAATGCTCTGGAAAATTAAGATTAAAAAAATTTGTCCAGCCGTTCATTAAAAGGGTCATACTATTATCATGGAGAGAGGCAAAGAGATCTTCTGGTTGATTGGTGAGTCCTTTATGACTGAAGTACAATATTTGTAGACCATAGGACAATGTTGACATCTTTCAACTGATATTAAAAAAACACAGGGTTTAAAACAAAGATGAAGAAAGATACAATTACCTTGTTGCATTTATAGTATGGTGAAAATTAACATTAGATCATCACCTTGCCAGTAATAACAAGTACAAATTATATTCTTCACTTGCAAAATCTGAGTTTATAGCACAGCCTAAGAGCCTTTCAAAAATTACTTAGCAAATAACTAATGCTTTCAAAATATTTTTTTTCACTATATTTTATGATCTGGGCCTTGACAGGGATTAGCTAAACAGGATACAAATTCTTTATCTTGCTTTTTGAGAGATCAGTCAGTTTCTGGAATAGGCTGGAGTAAAATGCCAAAGGAAGCAGTCCAGGCCCACTACCCCTTCAAAGGCCATTTGGTTTTCCTGCTTTCAAAAATGAAAGTATTCTGGCATTGCACTTATTTGTATGGACACTGAGCAGGGTAGGTTGGCCATATATGCTTGAACAAAGAACAGTTTTCATCTTGAATTTTTTTTAGGGGAAGTAAAGTCCTAAAGTAAACAGGAAGTGGGAAGACACTACCGCCCAGCCAGCCAGATTTGTGATGGGTGGAAAGGATGGATGGTGGACGTCTTGGCCTCCCCCTCTTATGCCCATATCGCGCCTTGGGGCACATCCATCTGCACAGAAACAGCACTGGCTCCCGGACTCGCCCAGCTGTTCCCAAAAGCTACTCACCGCTGTGCCATGAACGGTCCTCCTGCGAGAAGAGCCCTCAGGTGGTGTTACAAAGAGTTTTGGTCGATCCATCGGATTTCTAGAGTGTGCGGCTTTGTAGGGCATGATGATGGGGCTGCAAGATGCTGAACGAGGACAAATGGGGATAACTAGGGTGCAGGTGATTGGTTTTACACACAAGAGTGCCAGAGGAGCAGTTGAAGAAAGCCAAAAGCAGGTTCAGGAAAAGGAGCAAAGCAGAGATAGAGAGAAAAGTAGGAAGAAGAAGTTATTACCTAACGGTGCCCAGAACCATCACACTCAGCTGTCCTCACAGTCCTATGAGTTTATGATGTGTCCAAAAGGAAGGCATGTCCAAGTGAAAAATCTGGAATATACTATTAGTAATTTGGCTATTTAAATACTGATGAAAGATACAGATGTAATCCAAAATTGTGAAGAGCAATGTTCTTATATTCCTACTAACTGATGGTTCTGGAAAAACTATGTTCATGATATAAGATAATTTTTACATGAGGACTGGTTTACAATCAGACTTTTCCTAGTTAACTTTAAGATGGAACAAAAGGTGGAAAGAGAGGAAGCGTGCAAGCAGGCAAGCGAGATATACTACGAGTATTTTAGGATTCAAGTTCAACAGCCAGCAGGGGAAAAAAGCAGCTGAATTTGAAAAATGTTAAATGACCAAGTCTTACCAGGTGTTAAGGCTTGTCAAAAAGGATAAGTAATAATTTCCAGAAAAAAAATTCTGTAAATATTTTACTTATTTAGAGGCACACCAAATGCAGGCTTCTGGGTTTTCCCAAAAACCAAGGCATTTGATGGTTCCAAAGAGGCAGCATTAGAACACATGAGGAGGTTGGATATAACTTATTTAAAGCATCGAATAGAATATATATACATTAGAATTGCCAAATTAAAGGTTGCATCATGAATATCTTTTAGTTTTACTCACGATGGAATATTTTTTGAAAAACCACACAGCTTCTGACCATTCATTTTTAAAGGAACACTGTCATTAATCAAGTTATTCCTAGTGACAATGGGTTTAAATAAATTCATACAATACTACGTAGGTATCACAAGTGAGGTGTACTAAGGTCCATTTTCAGATCTCATTCAGAAATCTTGTTTTCCAGCAAAACTAAGACAATTGTACACAATCACCAAAGAGAGGACTGCGTATTTGGACAGGTTATAAAATGACTTTACTCAACTCTAGCCATGGTAGCAACTCTTCAAAGAAAGCATCATGTCAGCAGAATGTAAGAGTATTAATAAATTAACAACTCAAAAGTTCACAAAACAAATCTGGGATAATCTTAATTTCAAAATTATAGCATTTTAAAAATATTTATTTTGGCTTATAGACAGAAAGTTGATCAGACTGAATTTTTATTAATGTGCTCTCATTTATTAAATGCCTGGCAGTATCTTCTGGCTATCACTGAATAACAATAAATAGATTGGAAACTGCACTCTCTTTTTCTATCATTTGAAAACATAATTCTATTTCTTCAGGATAAACTAAAACACTATTCATTTCTTCAGTGCTCCTTAAAAGAGTACGTGTTTCATGGGAACTGACATAAAACTTTACCTCCAACCTTAATAGTGAGGGAAGGATACGTATTGACAAGAGAATCTCTTCTCATTTTTCTAGTTGTGATCATAGAGGAAACCCTTTGAAGATAACCTTTTCTCAAATGCTACAACAAAGCATTTGCATTTTCCAGACAAGAAAGAGTTTCTTAATGCAAAATTCTTCCAAGTCAATCAAATGCATTTAAGGAACAACATCCTGGCACAAGGCACTTCTGGGGATTAGTGACCAGGAGGAAAGGCAGACATTGCCCAGGGCACAGCCAGGAGCCATTAACCTTGCTCAAAGATCAAGAAACCCTAGGAAACAGCCCTGCTCTGAGCCAGTGGGTCTGAAACTGACAACAGAATGAAGCACAGAAAAATGATTTATTTTCCCTCTAGTGGAAAATAAGTTTCATGAGGTATGGAGCATTTACTGAGATCATTCTGGATATAGGCCAATCTCATTATGCCTTCTGGTTTATTTTTTATTTTAATGCTGAGATAATATTAATACAGGTTGAAAATATCCTTAAACCCACCCAATGTAGCCTACAGAAAAAAAGACTCCTCAAATTTAATTGTCCAATGAACATCTTTCGACTAAAATAAACAGCATAAATTCCTTGCAAGAATATTAAATTTCATGGAATTCACTGCTGTACTGAACAATAAGTTCTGAAAAACCTGAAATCTTCACATCAATTATTTGAAATAATCTTGTCCTTATGAAGACACAACAAGAACAAAATATGGTTTTTCTTCCCTAGAGTACCCTCCACATCCCAAGTAGTTTAATTAAATGTGAGCATTTCTTACGGAAATATCTTTGAGAAAAATCTTCCACAATATGCATACTGCATCCTACTCTTCGTTGTAAGTGCACATTAATTTATCTCATTCAACTTCTTCTAAATGTAATAATGAGTGCAGTGAAAAGATAATACAGTTCAAGTGGAGGATAGCACAGACAAATTATATAATAGAATACTAATATTTACTGACAGTCTACTTTGTGCAGGTACTAGTCTAAACATCTTACATATATTCATTTATTTAATCCTGAGTTCTAATAGTCACATGTATTTTGAATGGTCTGGGAAGAAAAAAAAAGGGCATGGAAAAGTCAACCCAAGCAGCGGCTGCAAACGAGAGGTGTGGGCGAGACTGGGATTTCCAGTTCTCAGCTACTCTTGCTGCTCAGGGAGTTTACAGTCATTGCACACTGCGGGGCTCAGAGCGGCTGTTTCAATCTGCAAATGTAACCCTGCTAGCTCTGGATGTAGGTCACCTTCTTGCCAATGGCAATTGGGAATATGATGACGTCAAGGGACAACACTAACATGGGAAGACAAGAAAGAATAATCAAGGAGAGCGATGAAAAATAAAAGTAATGGAAACAGTGTTTTTGCCAAAATAACTGGGAGAGACGTTTATGTACAGCACACCGAATGGAAATGAAACCAAACCAAACCAGAGTTTTGATTCATTTAAACATAAGCTGTATCAATGCCATAGGAGATGATGACCTAGGCAATGCATTAATAAAACAGGCAACTCAAGTAGAATCTGTGCATTGTTTCACACCAAAATAAATTATAGAAATGTATCAATATGTGAAAAGGAGAATGGAGAAGTTGTAAAGTCAACAAGAGCCACTTTGCAGATAAAAAAAAAAGCACCTTGATAGAGTGTAACAGAGAAGGGGGGAAGACAGGCAAGTAGAATGGGTGGAAAATGAGGAAATGGTGCTGGAGAAGACTAGAGGGAGAATGAAAGAATTGACGAGAGTTAGTGATGACAGAAATAACAAAGACAGACAGCTTCCTAGCTAGGAGGCAGGTTTTCAGCCTCACAGTGTGACATACAACGAGGAGATTCAGAAGCATGACAGTCATAAAACTATTTAGATCCTATGAAACTGGGCTGAAAAGCAGTTCAGAAAGTTCTTTAATGAGCTAGACATGAAGAAAAACTTTCATAACTTGTATAAAAGTGTACAATTCACTGGCAGAGAGGAAACACTATCTTGAAATAAGTTGTACTTTTTCTTCCAGAAAAATCTCAGATGCAATGTGACAACTTTGATGGGCTACTTTATAGAAAACATAGAACACTGTGGTACAGCTAGCTGATCACACAACTGCACACAAAGCAACCCTCAGCGTAACAAGGATGGAGGGGTAAGCACGCTTACTATCCAGTCCACCAGCTTTCTAAGTGGCTCTAGTGTAAGTCATTTATTGTCACTACACTTGGTTTCCATGAGATGGTGGGGGGAACGCCCACACTTGCTTTGCTGACTGCTTCACACGGGTACTGTGAGATTTAGGGTTGAAACTCATGTGCTCATTGGGCAGCACAGATGAAAGACACCATAAAACCACCAAGAATTATTATTATTTTTTTTTGAGTCAAGGTCTCACTCTGTCGCCCAGGCTGGAGTGCAGTGGCAGGATCACGGCTCACTACAGCCTTGACCTTCTGGGTTCAGGTGATCCTTCAGTCTCAGCCTCTCAAGTAGCTGGGACTATAGACACAGGCCACTGTGTGTGGCTAATTTATTTTTATTTTTATTTTTTGTAGAGATGAGGTCTGCTATGTTGCCCTGGCTGGTCTCGAACTCCTGGGCTCAAGTGATCCTTATGTCTTAGCCTCCCAAAGTGCTGAGCCACCACACCTGGCTAAGAATTATTATTTATAAAGCAGGCTAATGAACACGGAGAGGCTTGCAAAGACAAAGCACTTTTAAAGAGCATTTTTATGGAAAGAGCACCCAATTTTCTAAGTGCCAAAGATGAGGGCTGGTAGACTGGTTACATAAATAATGCCAGTTATGCCCAGAGATATTTGGTAAAGCCTAAATCTGCTCACCATGAGAAAAATGTTACCCAAGCCTAATGCACACCTTTTTATCAACTAGATATTGGCTCTATACTAACTTCTCATTTAATTAAGTGGCCCGTTTAGACATGTTTTACATCTCAAAAGAGTAGAGGAGTTACAACTAATCATCAAACCAGTACTAGGCATGTTTTCCAATTTTTCAGCAAATGTCACAAAAAAGGACACTACAATTAGCCTTCACAACTCAGAGGGTCCTAGAAGGGTATGCTTCCTAGATTTCAGATAAAAGATTGGTGCAGACAGGATAAGTACCTAGCCACAGTCACATTTAGGACCTATGTTTGAATAACAGATTTGTGCTTTGATTTTTATTCCCAAGTTCACATATTAGTATCCAATAGGAAATAATTTCCATTTTTGACCACCTGCTCAGAGACGGAGGCAGAAAAGAAAGGCAGGTAAGGAATGCCATTTTCTGGTTATGACATGAACAGACAGAAGCCTCGAAAGCCACCTGAGCACAGGGAGGGAACTTCGTCTGCCTGCCTGGCATCTGGTGTCCAGATAAAATGCTAGGGCGGATGCTGGGAGGAGACAATGCCAGGAGTGTGAAACCAACACCGACAGACGTTTCCACCCGGAGAGGAGAGAAGTCCAAGTTAGGAAAAACTGAGATGTGATTAGATGAACACTGGCAACTCATATATGCTTCAAGGGGAGTACTTGACCTCACTGGGAAAGTTCCACCTGGACAGTTTACCTGCTTCTCCAAACAAGGCGGCTGTGCTTTTACTTCTGGCCAGGAACGAATGTGTGGGCGTCAGGAGTCTGTTAACAACGTTGCTCTCCCATGGGCTGAGCTGCAGGCGGCGAGCTAGATGGTCACCACATAAGCAAGATGTTAGAAGCATTCTCTCCAGGGTCAAGAGGGCACAGAACATCATACCTATTGCTTCCACACGCCGAGCCTTGGACAGACCAGGCTTTACAGGGAGGACGGTGGAGAGTCAGGGCAACAGGAACTCTGAAAAAGGGAGCAGCTGTTCCGGAAGTTTGCCTTTCTTCACGATGTTAAGTTTGTGGCAGGTGCTAAATTCGTTTTTTAGATGCAGATTTTGCTAGCCACCCTCCTTCAGTGGTCAACCGGCAATCAGACAAAAATATCGTTTCCACTACAGTTTTGGTGTGTATTGAACACTCCAGGGTGGTGCCATCTGCCGGGCACCAGATGGGTAGAGGACTGATGATACACACCTCAGTCAAAGAGCTTCCTAAGGACCTTGACTAATAAACCCAAACAGAGGCACCGGCAGGTTAAAGGAAGACCAGACTTATAGACATAATTTAATGGGGCCCCATTAAATTATGATAGGGCTCCATGAATTGCTACTTGGGCTATTATTTTAAATGAACGGTATTTAAATTCTAGTAAATGAGTTTTAGTTCAGTTCATAAAAACCATTCACAGTCAAATATTGTTATAAAAATATTATTCCTGTTTGAGAGGAAGTACTAACTTCCAATAAGTACCTTTATTATGTGACCATTTTAAAGGAGTGGCATTTTCGTCAGGCTTTGGTGAATTTAAGAATTAATGGATCATTCAATGTATTTTATTAGAAGTGTCTTTGCAGTTAAATTAAATATTATCTGACATTGAGGCATTAAATAAAAAGATCTGTTACACAAAACTATTGCAATAGTAGAAAGCACCATCTTAACTATCATAAACTATAGCATAGCAGTGTGAGTATGTAACAACAGACTGTAACACTATCTAAAATTAGAATACATTCACAGGATACAATCAATGGGGGAAGAGTGATTAGGATTAATTGAAAATCTTCAACAGAACTCTATTTTCAATAAATGGCAAAGGAAAGAAAGATGAATGCTTCCTTAGAAAACTATAAGATGACTGTGGCTTACAATTGCAGAGATGAATTACATTGAAAAGATAAGCCCCTTTTGTTTTCTACATTGAGTTCAATTACTTTGTTTCTATGAGTCTTTAAGGCATCAACCAAAGAATTTGTCTCAAAATAAGATTACTAGAAATCCTTTTTAACTTGAGTGTAAGCAAATCCAGAGAAATTCATTTTATAGCTTCTGATACTGTGAATGAAAGAGTGCTAGAGGAAATATGTTTTCATTTCCATCACATTCATAGCTATGCTTTGACCAAGATAAGAGATATGGCTTCCATATGAGAACTTTTTAGTAAAGGTTAATAAAGGAGAGCTGGTTTATTGTTTGTTTGTTTGTTTTTGTTTTTCCACCTGGAGGGGACTGGTTTTAAGATTACAAACCTTAAGGAAGAGATATTATTAACTCTCATGAAACAACTTGGGTCCTATTGAAGCACTTTAAAATGAAGTATTACCGATTCCCATTATAAACTACTCAGATCAGGGGAGGCAAACTCAAAGCCCTCTGGGGGACATGTAGGGTAACATAAATAAATTATCTGAGCTAAACAAACTTTGTAGAGGCCTGCCTTATCACTTTCCTCCTATAAGCATGAAATAGCCTTTCAGTTTCAGGTAAACGAATGCCATGAATAAGTCAGGCAAATAGCGCAGATCCTACTTTTTTTCATTAGAAGTAGAAAATCTAAATGTTATAGGAAGTCTTCCATATTTTAAACGTTCACAGTTAATTCAAGTTAAAACAAGAGTAAAAGACACTGCTTAGATAAAATAGAACAAGCTTGTGGGCAGACTTCAGCTTGGGGTCTACTGTGTCTTATAATGTAGATTCTAGGGAAAAAATATATTGACTAATTTTAAGCAAAGAGTAGGTAGCTTATTCTTTTCAACCTCCCTAATGTTCTTTCTTGAGGAAAAGTTGGTAAGCAGAACATTTAAAGATAATGAACACTTTTAACGTAAACATTTCCAGTGGCAACATTCTGTCCGTTACAGACAGAAATTACAGAAACTTTTAGTAATGAGAGGTTTTTTTAGTCCAGGTAATTTTACCAGTCGATCTAACACTAGATTCAGGTATAATAATAAAAAAAACTTGGCCAAGTGCAGTGGCTCACGTCTGTGATCCCAGCACTTTGGGAGGCTGGGGTGAGAGGATTGCTTCAAGACAAGCCTGGGCAACATAGTAAGACCTTGTCTCTACAAAAAAATAAAAATAAAACATGTAGCCAGGTGTAGTGGTGTGTGCGTAGTCCCGGCTACTTGGGAGGCTGAGGCAGGAGGATCACTTGAGCCTAGGGGTTTGAAGCTGCAGTGAGACATGATCATGCCAACTGTACTCCAGTCTGGGTGACAGAGTAAGACCTTGACTTAAAAAAAATTAAAAACTGGTGGGGCACAGACATAAAACTAATGACCAGCTTCCACTGGCTTTGGAGGGCATGGGAAGCCCATCTTGAAGAAGTGCCTATTTACCAAGCAATATGGAAATAGTCTGGTGTTTTTAATAACCAATAGAGCTATTTGGATGCATTCTAGCTCAATGTTAGCCCTAATGGTATCAGAAACTCAATTTATATTTTATTTTTATTTTTTATATAGAGACAGCATCTTACTGTGTTGACCAGGTTGGTCTTGAACTCCTGGCTTCAAGTGATTCTCCCGCATCAGCCTCCTAAGGTGCTAGAATTACAGGCATGAACCAATCACACCCAGCCCAGAACCTCAATTTAATATGAGCTTACAGACTTTGCTATAGGACTGAGAAAACTCAAACAGTCTAATAATGATGCCTATACCTTCTTGACAGTTTTGTATATAAAGTTGTCCAGTTTAATAATCTGACAAGAATGTTTTCTAATGAGATAATAAAGCCTAACCAACTTTAAAAAATACATAACAGGAAAGAAACTAAACACATCACTTAGATTTCTACATTAGAGACATTCAAATTTAGGAGAGTTTTTATTCTTAGTAAAAGGCCTAAGCCTCTCACTGTCCTAGTGAGGAATTTGGCTAACTTTAAAAAATATTGCTTCCTGGACCACATGGGAACTTCTTTCAGGCTGACCTGGCTTGTTAGACCAGGAACAAGACTCGTGCTCCCCCTCCAGTCCTGTGATTCCAGCGTGGTATTCAGTTTTCAGACCTGTGCCATGATTGGAGTGGTACTTTTCTGGCTTCTGCTATGAACTGGTGATGGAACTTCCCCTTGACTCTGATGTCCTATGCTCTAACTCTCCAATTCTAACGTTATATCTGCACCATCTCCTCATCGCTCCAAAAAAGAACACATGGATTCAGAGTCGATCTAAGAAAGGACACTCATGCAGGTAAAAACTGAGCATGCAACACATGGGTAAAGAGCTGGTAAAAACTGACAGGGCAACACATGGGTAAAGAGCTTGTGGTCCCTCTTTTAGTGCCCCCTCTCCAGCAATTAGCCTACAGGACATGAAGTCCAGCTCTCAACTTTTTACAGACTCTCTTACCCCAGCTGTAGTAGGCAATCCATCCAACAGATCTTTCTCAGTTCTCTAAGAAGATCCAGTTAGATATTATCATGCAGAGTCCATAAAACATCTCTTTAATCGATACAGACAACTCAGCACTGTCACTCCACAGAAGCATGGACAGGATACTGCCCAGTTATTCCCCACTACCCCACTGCCACCTCATGCTAATTTGGGACAATAAGCCAAGTTTAACTTTAAAAGTACTGTAAAATCCTAATTGTAGTTAGTCTTAGACCCAGGTTCACAAAAGTTTGAAATTAAAGCACTGAATAAGTGACCAGTTCCAAAGAAAAGATGAATAAACAACTGTAAGAACAGCATTCACGTGCTTTTATCTTATATTAAGGGATAGGTTTAAAAATAAAGGATAGTTAGGGAAGAAATTTTAATTCCTAATACTTATGAATAATAATTCTTAATACTTATAAGGTCCCTAATTTGATTACATTCTAATATTGATGATTTAGGAAAAGTTTAGGTTAAGCAAAAAAAAAAGGTTTCAGTTAAAAGTCAAGAATAGAGAGTTGTTCAAACATACTGCTTTAAGAGATTAGTTATAAAATCACATCAACACTCATAGAATATTGTACATTACAATGATACCATAACAACTTTTATACAATACAAAATATATAAATACACATACACACACAGAACATGCACACATTACATTCATTTTAAAGATGATAAACACTGAAACTTTCCCAGTTTCTTAATAAAGTAATCAAAGTAACCACAATTTGTTACTTTTAAAGAGTATGCGTCTTATGTTGCACAATAATTATTTGGTTTTATTTAAAATCACTTTAGGTATGTAAAACAAGTAGCTTGTCTAAAAAGCTTGATTTTGTGTCTTTCTATGATATATGTAAAGTAAAACTTTCACCTTATAAATAACTCAACATTCATGTACTGTAAATCCATGGGATGAATAAAATTCAACATTCATGTACTGTAAATCCATGGGATGAATAAAACTCAAAATTCAAATAGGATGTTAATTGCAGGACTATGAATATTAAACATTTTAGGAGGCTGTAATGACGATGATATTCTCAAAGTTAGGCCAAAACCATCAAGAGTAAATAAATGAACACCGAAAAACCAATAGCACACATAGGAAATGCAGTAAGAAATGTTTGGTTAAAAGAGAAATGAATTATCAAAATGAAATCTACCAACACGAATCATTTAAAAGTGTTTAGAAGGTCAGAGCCTGGAATTCCCAAAGTACAGACGAAAAAGCCAAAGACATTGATTGAAGTAAAAGAAATATTCATAACAAAGATAGTTTGCACTTTGGTGGATAAGTGGGTGATTTCTGGAGCTGTAAACTCATTTACTAAAAGTTGAGAGAAGCACCACTTGCATCACTGCTAGATGCAATCATTCAGCCAAGTTCTAAAATGAGAAATGTTCTTGTCGCAAGGAAAATGCTGCTCAGCCGTTTATTGCTTTTTTACTCTGAAGTTTTTTTCTTCCTATTTAAGAAACGTAGGGAAAGCAACTTCAGATGCTTATTTTTATCTGCAAACATCCAGAAAAAAGGCATTAAATAAACAACAGAACACTTTTTTGGTTTTCCTTTGCACTGTACCTCTATCTGGAGAATTTAGTAAAGTTGCAGATGAAGAGGAGAGCCGCTTGCTAATGACGGGATCAACATGTTTCGAAAGATTCATGGTGGAAACTGACCGCCTGTCTGGATCTAAAACAAATGGAGATAATGCTAATTGACAGCCAGCATGCAGGATTGCAATTTCCTAGTTCACTGATGCAGGGAAAAACTAGGATTGGATGCTTTCAGCTCTATTTCTAGATCTGTCATTATAACACAGTTTTCTAAGCAGACATTTTAAAGGTAACTTAAAGGCTAGAAATAAAACTCTTTTTTCTTATAGGATCAAATAAATATTCAGTTCACCAGTTTGTCAGCTATGGAAATTCAAGGATATTGTTATAATACAAGTGGATGAAGAGAAGAGGAAGGCCAGCAAATGGCTTCGAAAATAGTGGAGGCACATTACAAAGCAAAAGAGGACCACAAAAGTGAACTCCTCTGTCGTTTCTGAAGCTGACAATGCTAGGAAGACAGAGTGTGAACACTGGAATCAAAGAACACCAGGTTCTGTGTAACTCCTGACACTTTTGCTTGGAGAGTCATTTTATCCTGGGCATTAAAGTTCATTATAGGAGCGTGTGCAGGTGTGTGCATGTATTTTTTTTTTTTAAAGAAGGAAATCTAATTATGGAACAAATGGCCATTACAACTTTTCTTTTTTAAAATCTAGCCGGGCATGGTGGCTAATGCCTATAATCCTAGCACTTTGGGAGTCCGAGGTGAGAGGATTGCCTGAGCCCTCAGGTTCAAGACCAGCCTGGGCAACTTGGTGAGACCTCATCTCTACAATTAAAAAAAAAAAAAAAAATTAGCTGGGCATGGTGGCGCGCGCCTGCAGTTCCATCTAGTTGGAAGGCTGAGGTGGAAGAATTGCCTGAGCCCAGCAGGTTGAGGCTGTGGTGGTTGTGAGTGTGCCACAGTACTCTAGCCTGGGCGACAGAGTGAGATTCCGACTAAATAAAATAAAATAAAAATAAAATTAAAAAAAATCTACTAATAACTCCACATCTATGCCAATGAGTTTAGCGTGGCCTATAAATATAGAATCTCAGCACACAAGCTTGTCCAACAAAACTGATAGCAATATAATCGGAATCCTAAGTTTATGAACGATAATTTTGTTCATCCTGCTGCTGAGTAATTTAGAATTCTTCTAGTTCAAATCAGAAGGGAAATAACCATATGAAAGATGCAAATCAGCAGCTTGCTGTTGGCACAGTGGAATCTAGTTGTAATCATATTCCTTAGCACAAATCATGTTCCCCAAGTAAAGCTGCACATAATAAAAATAAAAAAAATCTCATGACTATATTTTATCTAGGAGGCAGCTGGATGTTCTGACAGCCAAAGTGAAAGGGGTTTTGCTCTATTTTGTTTTATTTTCCATTGTTACCGGCTTCTAAAACTACAACAGTATTCCTTGTGGCAGATGGTTTCACAACCCAGCTGCCATTGTCTAACTAACCTTGGCGGTACAAACTTTGTGGTGAACTTTCACCCAAGGAATAACCATTTTTGACTATTACTTATAGTGCACTGGTGATAAGGAAAACTTCCATTAACATCAGACCTTTCTGTCTTCATCTGGGATTCATTTTTACAGTTCAAGCAAATTTATTATTCAAAAAACAAATAAACAAACACAACATTTCTGTGACTCACATTTACATGTAACTGATGGGCTCTTACAGCAGTTCTAACACAAGGAAAAGATTTGGGGTAAAACATCGAAAGGAACATCCTAGTGATGAAACGTGAGGGACAGGGCACAAGGAAGAATTTTGAAGGTCATTTCCTGGTGATTTTACAGCAATACATCTTCTGATATTGTTTTATATGTTAATATTAAACTTTAGGTGGGGGGAAATCATGTCCATGTGTCTGTCCTCAGGCAGATTCTCAACAGGCCATTAAAACCACTTAGATCTGCTTCAGAGTAAGTAAAACAAACAAACAAAAAAGAGCAAGACCAGGTCTTCCCATCCTAAAAAATACTGAATAGTAAAACATCTAAATCTGCCATAGATGGTTAAAATTTGTTATATTACTTAACATGTGAGATCGTTTATTCATTTTTTTCTCACTGAACAAAACAAATTCACAAAAGAGTTTATGGGTAAGTTTTAAAAAGATAAAGTTTTGCAAACCAGTGCTAGTTGATGTGCTAGCAGTTGGACATTGACTTTGATGTAGTTTCTAGGATCTGTCTATTGGTCAGCAAACAGTGACTGAGTACCCACCATGTATCAGGTATTGTAAAGTAAAGCGTATTCAAAATGAATGAGGCCTGGTTTCTGCTCTCAGGATCACAGCAGACAGTTTTCTGATCTTTGAGAACTTTGGCAAATCCCAGTTATTTTCAGACAAACGTCTCTGTTCTACATAGGAGTAACTTGCTCTAATTCACAGCCCTTATTAAGATAGATTTTATCTAAGAGCTCACAAACGTAACACTGGTTTCTCTTGTTTTTGGGTGGTGGGAATAAAGGTCATAGATTAAACTCCAAGTATGGAAGCAAAATTGAAAACTAAGTAGCTTAATTTCCCCTCAAAAATGTTTGACAATCTATATCTGTATATTCCTACCACATACATGCAAAGCATGAAGCCAAGTACAAGAAAAATAGGGTTATAAAAATATATGTCCTGACAGTTTTAGCTATGAATTGTATATACAAAGCTACAATGAAACATCACACATAAATGATACTGATCACAGATTTGATACATGCCCCAACAACTACCATTGGTCATTAAGAACCAGGAACAAAAAAGAGTTTTCACATCATAAGAAAATAAGTTGTACGCTGGGGTGGCCGTGAATGTGCCACTACATTCCAACCTGGGTGACGGAGTGAGACTCCGACTCCAAAAAAAACAAAGTAAGTTGTGGTGATATTCTTTTTACACGTTTTTTAAATGCAGGGGTTATAAAAGACATATAGAACATTAGGAATGAAAACGAACAGAGCAAGCAAACAAACAAAAATCCACAGTTTACATGAAAATGAAAAATGGCAACATCAGTATTAATTGGGGAGGTGGGGAGTTCAACTGCATGTATTTTGATCCCAGGTAGTTTTTTAGCTAAAAAAAAAATTTTTTTTAAGGTTTTACCCAAAATGATCATTTAAAGGAGAAGGCAAACATGCCACATGTAATCGCTTTATTTCAACACCTTTAAGTCACCCGAGTCATATTATCACACTTAAGAGACACTGTGCCAATCCCAGATCTAGGTCTATGCAACAGGGTGTTAAGCATGCATTATGACTAAGGTGGTGGTGATGGTTCAGCTATCGATGAACTGGCCCAAGGCCTGAGGCACGAGCTACAGATCAGGCAGTCAGCAATCACAGAGATGTCTGTACCAGATTTTCTAGTACCACCAAAAGTTGTGAAGTGGTGGTCCAGGCCTGCTAAATCAAAAGGAGAATGGTGACTCAACCAAACCACCTGGGGACAGAATGTAAGACAATGATTTTTTTCAAAAAGCAAATTTAAAGAAATAAAGGTTATTAGACTTACACAAATGGAAAAAAAATGAACACAATATGTAAAATTCAAAGTGTATTGAATTTACAGTACAAAAATAAAACTTTTTGGTGAGGTCAAATTTCAATATGATTTTATGTCTGTTCACGAAGAAGGAAATGGTTTAGACATCTACTACTATTTCTAGTTTAATAAACCTGCACTTTCCTACAGAGCATAAGTGTTGCATATACTTTAGGGTAGGAACACTTACGCTCAAAGGATTCTGATCAGTCAACACAACTATGATTATTCCAGAGAAAAAGAGAAAACTGGTTCACTTATTTCACAATCCTGACACCCTTATGCAAATAAATGATGTTGAAACTAGCATGTTTATTTAGAAACACTGCATAGATGTGACTCTTTCAGGAATTTTGTAACACATGAGAAAGCAGCCTGTGGCAGGGGAAGAGAACCTTATCTTCTAACCTCCATCACCCTCTTATCCTCAGTGGAAGCATCATTTAATTACAGTTTAATTATTTCAGCGGGATTTTGTTTTGCAAAACAGATTTAGAAAAAAGGAGGAAACACACTTTTACTTCTGAGAGAGAGAGAGAGAGAGAGAGAGAGAGAGAGAGAAAGACTGACTGTGAACGTGGCCACTGTGTGTTTACCTGCGCTGTGGATGCTGGGGCTCCCATGCAGAGAGCCCCCCCATGACCACCGATTGGGCTTCTGTTTGGGCTTCTGGCTCCTTTCCATTGTGCGTCGTACAACGGCTTCATGGCGTTCCTCGAATGAAAGACGGGAGCTGATGGTTAGATTCAACCTGGTTGTTTGAAGCTTCTTCAACTCAAGGCAGAGGGGAGTGAGGAGTGCTGCTTCAATTCCCACCCTGCTGCTCCTGACCTGTGTCTGCACCTTATCTCAGGGTGGGAATGGCATCAATCAGGAAGGGTCTCGGAAGTCGTTGGGTCCCAGTTCATAAAGCACTTGGTATACAACAGGCACACACATAAACAGCTCTTACTACTGGGATGCGATGCCTTCATGTACACAGCACACATATGCACGGTGGGGCGGGTCTTAGCTTAAACGAATGCTTAACACACATGGTACCATATTTAAACACGGAAGACATGAATAACCCTCACCCCGTGACTTACTAAACTGCATGCCCTAGCCGGGCTCGGTGGCTCAGCCTGTAATCCCGCTCTTTGGGAGGCTGAGGTAGTGGATTGCCTGAGCCCGCGGGTTTGAGACCCGCCTGGGCAACTTGGCGAGACCTCATCTCTACAACAAAATCAAAAAATTAGCCAGGTGTGGTAGTGCACGCCTGTAGTTCCAGCTACTTGGAAGGCTGAGGCGGAAGGATCGCCGGGTCCCAGCAGGTCGAGGCTGCGGTGGCCGGGAGAGTGCCACTGCACTCCAGTCTGGGCAGAGTGAGACTCCAACTCAAAAAAAAAAAAAAAAAAAATTGCATGCCCTTGTGTAATTTATGCATTCTGAGTCTGAATTTCTATTTTTGCAAAAACTAATATATAATACTCACTCAGGGGTCAAGTAAGAGTAAAATGAGATAATTTATGTGAAAGTGTTTGCAAGCAGCACAGCCCTCCAGAAATCCAATGACTTGGAGTGGGCTTAATACCCCAGTACAGATGAAGTGCACGTTAATAAGTCATAGAATGAGTCCAGAGAAATGGGTTTTTAAGGTTTCTATGGCAATAAGAGTAAACAGCCCATGGTCTACGTGATTCCCACTCCCCAACCGCCTCTGGAAACCACAGCCATCCGTACAGTTGATGACTCTGGAACTATCTTGCTATGCAGCCTGCCCTGGAATGGAAAGCGTCACAGGAAGTCTGCTGCACTTCTGAACGAGAGGGGCCTCCCGTGTCCTTCTGGTGGGGGGGAGGATGGGGGTGGCTCACTTTGTCCTCCTCGAGTCTCTGCCTCCGCTTCTCCTCCACGGCAGCCCGTCTCCGCTCCTCCTTCTGCCTCTGCTCCTCCAGCCTCTTCTTCCGCTCTTCCAGGTGCTTTTCATAGTGCTGCCTGGCTCGCTCTTCTCTTTCTAACCATACTATTTCTCTTGCGGCTTCAAAGAGGGGGAAAAAAAAGAGACAAATCAAACACAGGCTGGTTGGAAAAGTGAATAGTTAGGGCTGTGTCAAGTGGTCTAGGATGAACTAACACGAGTTCTTTAGTTTTGTATTAACAAGCATGGCCTTTGCTTTCTTCGTATTTTCAGGAAAAAAAGTACTATGGTTAATTTTTAGCATAATGCTAACTGTGAGGTCGAAGAAGATGCACTGAGTTCTACTCTTTGGGAATCCACACAGCCCTCTGGTTTGCTAAGGCATGAAACACACGTTCTGGTTTCAACCCTGATATTGATACAATTCGCTTAAAATCAATAGTTCTCCCCCACCTCCCTCTCCATTTTTATTTACTTATTTATTTTTTTGAGTCGGAGTCTCACTGTATCGACCAGGCTGGAGTGCAGTGGCACTCTCACAGTCACCACAGCCTTGAAGTGCTGGGCTCAGGTGATCTTTCTGCCTTAGCCTTCCAAGTAGTTGGAACCACAGGCATGCGCCACCATGCCTGGCTAATTTTTTCATTTACTGTAGAGATGAGGTCTCGCCATGTTGCTCAGGCTGGTCTCGAACCTGTGGGTTCAGGTAATACTTTCATCTCTGCCTCTCAAGGTGTTGGGATTGCAGGCATGAGCCACCACACCAGGCTATTTTTATTTTTTTAAAGACAGGGTCTTGTTCTTGCTCATTGCATCCTCAAATTCCTAGCCTCACGCAAGCCTCTGGCCTTGGCCTCCCAAAATGTTGAGATTACAGGCATGAGTCACCGGGTCTCTCTCATTTTAAACAATGTGATGTCCTCCAGCCTATAACTACATTTCTTGCAACATAGCATTGGTTCTGTGTAAGTATTAAGAGGATTAGTTGAGAAAGGATGTCTAAATGCCTCACAGGTGTATCACACTAAGTCAGCTTAAGGGAGAGGAGGAACTGAGTAAGCAGGGGACTTTGTGTCTGAGGAGTTCACAGTCCGGTTATGTAAGAAGATTTAAGTACATCAAAAGCTGACTGAAAATAGACGTTCTAAAAAAATATTGTCCAACAGTGGAATGCTTCTTTTCTTCTTTATGTAATACAGGCTCTTTCCTCATTTTAGGGGAAAAAGTGTCCCACAAGGCTATTTTCATCACTATGATGCTTCTTTCAGCTGTGATAACAAAAAACATCTACAGGCCGGGCTTGGTGGCTCAGCCTATAATCCCAGCACTTTGGGAGGCCGAAGTGAGTGGATTGCCTGAGCCCGTGGGTTGGAGACCCACCTGGGCAACTACAATAAATCCAAAAATTAGCCAGGCGTGGTAGTGCACGCCTATAATTCCAGCTACTTGGAAGGCTGAGGCGGAAGGATCGCCGAAGCCCAGGAGGTCGACGCTGAGGTGGCCATGAGTGTGCCACGGCACTCTAGCCTGGGCGACAGAGTGAGACTCCAACTAAAAAAACAATGACAACAACAACAAAAAACCCATCTATGAGTTATTAACACTGTAGCCCAAAGTGTCCACACAAAATTTAGGGTATAAGTCTTGGGGACAAAACATGGCACAGAAATTAAAATATTATCTATCAAGATATAAAAACAGAAACTCTGGTATCATTAAATCTTTCCGAAGTCAGGCATTTGAGGAAACACATCTACTGAAAGGAATGTGAACTGACTACTTGAGTGGAAAGAAAAAGACAAGGACAAATTCAAGACAAGTCTGTGCTGCCAACATTCAGGGTGGCGCATGAGAGAGCTGGGAGTGGTTCTCCCAGTGGTTCTGCTGCTGATGGGTGCTGAAACCTCAGAGGTGTACATTTGAATTTCAGTCTTCTCACCTAAAACAAGGACATAGATCTTCACGGTTCTTTACAATTTGAAAAGTCCCTTGTTCCAAAGAAATTCACAGGCCCAAGTTAAAAATTGACTTCAAGGGAAGAAGCACATAGTATGTGCTCAATAAATAGTTACTGAATGATTGGGGAAAAAAAATGATTGGGTGTGGTGGCTCAGTCCTGTAATCCCAGGACTTTGGGAGGCAGAGGTGAGAAGACTGCCCGAGTCCAGGGGTTTGAAACCAGTTTGGGCAACTTGACGAGACCTCATCTCTAAAATAATTTTTTTTTTTTAGAAGACAGAATCAGTTTTTATTGAAATTTAGACACCATTATTTGTCCTTGGATGATACAGGAAAGACTTTCAAAGGAGAAATCTTGAATAATAGGAGGGAAGAACTAAGGATTGAATCTCTTTTTAAAAAACTTTTATTATAAAGATGTGGGGTACAATTCAGGGTTAGGTAAAACGTTGATCATGCAGGTACCCATGTTGATGAGGTATGCCCCTCCCTCCCCTAGCAGTTTCCCTCAACTGCCAATCCCTCCCTCCCTCCCCTGACAGTTTCCACCACTGCCAATCGCTTTCTTATAGCATTATAATTGTTCAAGGTCCGTTTATGAGTAAGAACATATGGAACTCTGTTCTCTGTTTCTGTGATAAATCACTGAGTATGATAAAATACATTTTTTAAAAAATGAGCTAGACGTGGGTCTGTGGTTCCAGCTACTTGGAAGGCTCAGGTGGAAGGATCACCGGAACCCAACAGCTGCAGAAAAAAACTCAAGAAAAATAAAAAGAAAAAAGAAAAGATGCCATGAGAACCCACTTTAAAAGTTAACAGACTGAGGATATAATATTGACACTTTTTCTTTTTTTTTTTTTGAGTTGGAGTCTCACTCTGTTGCCCAGGCTGGAGTCAGTGGCACACTCACGGCCACCCCACGGTCGACCTGCTGGGCTCCAGCGATCCTTCTGCCTCAGCCTTCCGAGTAGCCAGAACTACAGGTGCGCGCTACCACGCCCAGCTGATTTTTGTTTTTTATTGTAGATATGAGGTCTTGCCAAGTTGCCCGGGCTGGTCTTGAACCCGTGGGCTCAGGCAATCCACTCGCCTTGGCCTCCCAAAGTGCTGGGATTACAGGCTGAGGCACCGAGCCTGGCCTAGAGATTTTTCATATCAACACATCCAACATGAATCTAACAATCTTTTTAATGACTACATAGTATTTCATTGTCTTTGTGCCTTATTTTACATAACTAGTTACCAACTGACTGGTGGTAGGTTATTTAAGTGGATTCCAGTACGTTACTCATTCATACCTCAAATGACACCACTGTACTATCATAACTCTGTATGCAGGTGGAGAACTGCTGAATCAAAAAGAATATACATTTAAGCAAAATTTTTTTTTTGAGATAAGGTCTCACTCTATGGTCCAGACTGGAGTTCAGTGGCAAAATCACAGCTCACCACAGCCTCTAACACCTTGGCAATCCCCCTCCTTGGTTCCTGAATAGTTGGGACTACAGGTGCATGCCACCATGTCTGGTTAATTTTTTAATTTTTTGTAGAAACTTGACTTAGTCTCTCTATTTGCACAGGCTGGTTTTGAACTCCTAGGCTCAAGCAGTTCTCCCACCTCAGCCTCTCAAACTACTGGAAATACAGGCCTGGTCTAAAATTTTTATAGATATTGTCATACTGTCCTCTGTGGAGGTCATACCAATTTATACACCCACCAACGTGTGATGGTCACAGGCAGAACAAAGAAACAGTTGTACACCTGAGATCTATAGATATATGGTATGATAAATCTATTTTTTTAACTTTTAGTCTTCAGACCACATAATCTTTGAGTTATTGCCCTATTGGGAAAGCTGCCCTCATTTTTTATCCAAAGGGATCAATCCCTTTTTTTTTTTGAGTCAGGGTTTCATTCTCACCTAGGCTGGAGTAAACTGGCATGACCACCACGATCATGGCACACAGAAGCCATGAGCTGAGGTGATCCTTACACCTCAGCATCCCAAGTAGCTGGGACTACAGGTGCACGCCACCATGTCTGGCTAATTTTTTAAATTATTTTTTTGTAGACACAAGGTTTTGTTATATTTCCCAGGCTGGTGTTGAACTCCTGGCCTCAAGCAATCTGCCTGCCTTGGCCTCCCAAAGTGCTGGGACTACAGGTATTAGCCACCATAATTGTAATGTATGTCAGAATAACTATTGGAGGGGCAGGGTGGGGGGCAAGGTGGAAGTGTCTAGTTCAAATGTAGACTCTCGAGCTCCAACCCTCATATTCAGATTTACCAATTCTAGGACACGACTCCATAATTTGCATTTTTTTTTTTTTTTTTGAGTTGGGTCTCACTCTGTCGCCCAGGCTGGAGTGCAATGGCATGCTCATGGCCACTGCAGCCTCGACCTGCTGAGCTCAGGCGACCCTTCCACCTCAGTCTTCCAAGTAGCTGGAACCACAGGCACATGTCACCATGTCTGGCTAATTTTTCGATTTATTGTAGAGAGGAAGTCTCACCAAGTTACCCAGACTGGTTTCGAACCCATGGGATCAGGCAATCCTCTCACCCCAGGCTCCCATAGTGCTGGAATTATAAGAGTGAGACACCGCACCTGGCCTTATAATTTCGCATTTTTAGTAAACCTCATAGGTAATTTTGAGACAAGTGGTCCAGTGACGGCACCTGGAAGAACAATGCACTTTAAGGTCTTCTGCAGAAGCTTCATTTAGTCCATAGATCACTGCTGCTCTCAGGATATCTATCACAAATGTTAGCCTTTCCTAGGTTCTAATTTCTACCTAGCAAAACTTTTTTTTTTTTTTCCCCAAAACCTTTCCTCCTGCAGTTGACTAATTTTTATTCAGCTTTTTAAAGGTTTGTAATGGCTATGTATTCCATTGTCTACATACCTTATTTTATATAACCAGTCACTTATTGATTGATAAGTCATCTATCAATCAGTTTAATTTTATTTAAATAAACTTTCATTGATACATTAATAACTGTATATATTGATGGGATATATTTGACATTTGATACACACATACAATAGATAATGATCAAATCAGAATATTTAGGATACCTATTGCCTCAATATATTTTCTTGTGTTGGGAATATTTCAAATCTTCTCTATAGCTATTTAAAATATACAATAGGGT